TGCAATTAAAACCAAACAAAATCTATGCAAAGTGTTCTTTGATTGAACGAGGTGAAGAGGCAGGGCAGTGACATCACAATCTCTCTCTACCCCTTCCAATCAGCAAGTGCTTTCCTTGGGACCCAGAAACTAACAGTGATTACTGTAGTGGCTGTGCCTACAGTGATTTCCAGCTTTCACAGGGATCAACCAGGTATGATATATACATACTTATTCAAGTTTAGGTCAAGCTGGACCCATGTAACTATGCAACAAAAAAAAAGCCATACCCAAATATCAGCTTTAAGCAACACAGCTAACCTGTGACTGAACAGTAAAGGAGCAGCAGAAGAGTGATGAGATCATCTTACTGCTTTTTACCTTCTGTTAGCATGTTCTTTGTCAGCACATGTTCCAAGTCACAGCTTGGACAGCTGAGGATTCTCTCCCTACCTTCCCTGTTACAGCCCTGGGTGTCTGGGCAGCCAATCAGCAAGTGCCAGCTCTGTCACAAGGATAGAAAGAGAATGCGTCACATGTTCCCAAAACCCAGAAGATAATACAATTTTTCTAAGCTGATTGGTAACAAAGGGGTGGAGAGTATGTGCTACTGATAAAGCCACCGGGTTTAAATTTAGGATTAATACGCAATACAACATATACATATACATTACAAACCAATTGTAGTAATAGCAGCAGTAGTTTGGTTTGGTTTAAGTTGTACAGTTAAAAGGGATAGTGCCAGTTCGACATGAAACTGTTGAGAAAAAAATGTTGTATACATGTTTTATATGTTCAAGCACTGAACAGACCAATACGACATTTGTTACAGAAAAACAAGACTCTTTTAATTCCAAAGTATTTAGTATATGTAATGATGACAGCTGCTGCATTTCCAATTGAAACCTGATAAGCCACAAAAACTGATGGCTATGCATATAACAGCTTTGGTCCAGAGGTAGGAACTGTGCAAATGACACTAAGCTTGAAAAGAAAAAATAACAATGATATATCAATTTATACCTAGCAAAAGTAAGGAGCACATGGGCAAGGATCCTTACTTTTATATTGTCTTGTTCTGTTACCAACTTCACCTTACAAAAGTATTAATTACTTCACTGCCAAAGAGCTGAACTCCAGGGATGTTATGTAATGCTTTCCTACATTTGGCCAGCTTGGCACAATGAAATTACCCATATGTGACACTTGATTGACCTCTTTGGAAGCTGCAAATCACCGTAGTAGCCGGGTGCTGTGTCAAGCAATTTCCCTTCTGCATTGTGACCACAGGGGTCACTCATCATAGCCACCATTCAGAAATACCCTTCACTTTTCTCAATGTAAAGAGTTCTCTGATTGGATGAGGTGGAGATCATAACGTCACCACCCTTCCTCTCCACCTCATCCAATCAGACAGTGCTTTGAATTGATTGAGAAAAATGTGGTTACTATGCAAAAAAGCATCACTGTAGAGGTTTGGGCTACTAAAGTAATTTGCAGTTTCCATGAAGGCCAATCAGATATCACTAATGCATACTTACATTGTGCTAAGCTGGCTCAGTGTAAGTATCCAACATATTTCATCATTGGATTTCAGATTTAATTCTGAGAATCAGAATATTAGTGTATATTAGAATATCATCATTTTGCCACTACTACCGTATTAGTAAAACATTCCACACGTTACCCAATCTTGCTATAATTTAATAAAAATCTCTAAACTGAAAAAAAACTTCTTTATTCCATATGCAATTTAATATTCCCTTGCAAAATGAACAGCCTTTTTCCCTATAGTAAATCAACCCCAGTGTGCTTGGCAATGAAATGGCTTTATCTTTGTGTTAAAATGCACCTAGATCTTAGCTGTAGCAAACATTGACCAAACAGATTTTAAATAATGCCTGATACATTTTACACGTGTAGGGCCTTACTGTCTACCAACAGATATTAGTTGATCAATGTCAAATGCACAGGATGTGGTTACTGCATGATCTGAATACACCTATGGTCAGGGGCGGACTGACAACTCATGGGGTGCCCCGGGCAATAGGGGATCACGGGGCCCTTGTGTCCTTGTGCAAACTCAAAAAAACCTATGAAAAAGGTACCAGGGGCATCTCATGGGGCCCCCTACTGACCCGAGGCCCTCGGGCAGTGCCGAGTTTCCAAATGGTCAGTCCGCCCCTACCTATGGTATTTATATAGTAACAGCTAGTCCCACAGACAACCTCAGAAAGGCTATAAGGGCACATTCACACCAGAAACTGCATGTAACTGCGCATTTTTATCCTTGTACCTATGCATGCAGTTAATGTGTTTTACCTGCAGTTGACGTGCATTTACATGCAGTTGACACACGCTTTTCTAACTGCATTTGACCTGTGAGGCCACTATCTTCTTCTTTCCTTGGACTTCTATGTGCACTGTGATGCGTTGCAATGCCTTTGCATGCGTTTGTACGCGTTTGCAGCATGCTGTACTGCGCTGAACTGCACTGCAATGGTGTGAACTATGCCCATAGGATTGCCTGGATTTCTATCTGTCTATGCAGTTGGAGTGCAGTTCATAATGCAGCCAACTGCATTCAACTGTGTTCAGTGTGAAAGGGCCCTAAGAGCTTGTTTACACCACAATTTCTGTGTTCAGTGTGCAGTTCTGCTTGTGCATTTACATGCATTTGTAATACATTTGTGGCACATTTGCAGTGCAGTTGTCCATTTTCAGTGTGTTTACATATTTTCTGGTATGTTTAAATTGCAAAAAAAGTGCAGCATGCTGTACTTTTTTTTAAACACAAATGAAAGCACTGCTTTCATTTGTAGTAATTTTTCTTGTGTAATCATTTGTACTGAAAAAAAATGTGTTCAACTGCATCCGTGTTCTGTGCACATTTCAGGCATCATATTCAAAATGCACTGCAGTTGCAATCTGCAGCAGGTGTTAATGCTACGTTAACAACACCCCAAGCACAAGTCGCAGTGCATTTGCGGATCGCATGGTACAGAAGTACCATGCAATCCAGTTGCAGTGCATTTTTTAAAGTAGCGTAAGCAATACGTCTGGTGCGGTCCAGTGCCGTGCAACCAATTCAAAATGAATGGGCTCAAATCGTACTACAGTGCACGTATATAGCACAAGAATACACAGTGCATTCTTGTGCAATTCCTGGTGTGAACTGGCCCTAAAAGAGCCTTGAGCTAGACTGTCTTTTCTTTTTAGCAAAAAAAAAAACTATTGGACTAAGGGCAGCCCCAGGGAGCATAAAGTAAACATAAGGTTTACTCTCAGTTTATAATGCCATGCATATACATAGTAGATCTGACCCAAACATATATGATGCATATACAGTATATTTGTATTTATTAGGGTATTTCATTAAATACTGGAAGTTAGAGTCTGTGTAAACCCTAAAGTCTTAATGTTTTGACCACCATTCTGAATTATATTTTACATGTGTGGTACCACTCTAAAGTGCCCATATTTCTGAGTTTTTTTTGACATTTTAAACAACATTGTCTTAGAAATTTCACAGCTTCCACATTTTCCGAATAATACACCAACTACAGCTATTTCAGTTAAATCCAATACTCAGAACTTCCCTGTTTTTCGGTGGATGGCTTCATTTTATGTCTCCTCTGATGCATGCAATACAATAAAAATACACAAATATGTAACAAAAATAACAGAGAAAACACATGTAAATGAAAATCATTTTAGTAACATGTAACCTCTTCTGTTCTCCATTGAACATCCTTTCATACTGCTTTTCCCTTCTGAAATATAACACCATTAGGGGAGAGCAATTCATGCACTCCGTAAAATAAAGCCTGTGGAAAAAACTATGCTAAGCAGTACTCATAAAATTACATTAAATTAGCAATATGGTATTCCTTGTTTGATGTTTAAAATATGCTAATTACATTTTTCCTTTCATGAGGTAATTTTAAAAGAAATTGATGTTTTTTTGAAGATCATGAATACAAAGTTTGTTTTTTTTTAAGCTATCTCCCCTATATCTGGAATATACACTGGGATATATAAATCATGCTGCTTTTTTAAATATCTAAATCCAAACTTTTTTTTGTGCTGCATAGATAGAGTTAGCAGTCCAAGTTATTGAGTTTAGGTCTTTCCAGTGAAGGGTACTGTAAATGTTGCAACATGCAACGTCATTTTAGATAGCTGTTAGATTAACCTCCTGTAGTAGTCCTGATGACCATTATTACCAGGACTAAAAGTCGTTGAAAGTCTAAAACTTTGAGTTGCCACTAGAATAGGAATAAAGCTGAAATCTTCAACACATGTTGTGTTGACAACTGTAAAAGAGGGTTTTCTTTTACTTAGGAGAAATTTTTTTTTAGGCTTTTTAATTTATTTTATTAAACATGTTCTTTGAATGGAAACAAATAACATAGAGTGGGGGGTTTCTCAAATTTGACTGCAAAAGTGAAAATACACTTTAAAGGTGCAGTGCCTTCTATTTTACATTGCAGATTCTTCTATTTGGAGTGTACACACCCTCCATTCTGAGTATTGTGTAATCTAATCAAGTGCAGTCAGAATTCAGAGTTCTATATGAAAAAAAAACTAAGACAAATTTCACAGAGTTGCTTATATGTAGTTGGGATGCTAGCTGTGCTATGTAATCCCTGCTTTCTCCATCTGATGAAAAGATACATCACCATTTAAAATTAACCTAACAAGAGAATGTGAATCTGACTGGTGGCTGTGAAAAAATGCCTCACTGACATTTTCATACACAAAGGATTCTGTATGGCAGACATAGCAAGGAGCCTACAGCTTTGAGTATAGAAATATCCTTTCTATATTACAAATTATTAAAAAACAGTTGGCCATATAACCAGATTACACACATAAACGATGAGTAGACTGGTGCATTAAAGTAATAAATGGGTAAAAAAAAGAAGCCCTAATCAGATGGGTTTTGTTCTTTATATGCATTTTCAGCCCTAATTTTCAGATCTGACTAAAATATACTTTAAATATACATTTTTATGTACCTTTGATTGTGCTGTCAGCACTAGTGGAAGAGTCACTGTCATTCTCGCCAGATGTCCTAGGTTTTACATGCAAATTCAATGAATGCTGGCTTCCCCTTGACAAAGATCTGTTCTTCTTTTTTTCCTTTGGTGGAGATGGTTTTCGGATGGGCTCAACAAACTGGATACTTGGGCTGATGTTCAAGATTAGACAACAAAAATAATCAATATGTTATTCATTTTTAATATCTATTGGAAGTACATGTACACATCTGCTGAAATAATTTGCTCTAGTCACTATGGACTGTGTTCTTCATTGTGTTAATATTTACACAGACACAATTTAGGATATAAGTTTGAAAGTAAGATCACTGCCAAACTTTAAATTTAAAGTACTAAAAATTAAGTCCTGCCAGCTTGTTTCATGCTGGCCCGTTTTGCAGGTATAGCTATCTAAAAGATTAAAAATAAGTTTAAAATATTGTTTAAAATCCAGTAATACACTGACTCACCCTGCTCTGCACATGCTCAATTGCTCTCTATTTTTTGGCACTGTAAAATGTAGAGGATGATCTGCTGACAGCCTAAAGATATACTGCTATGCAGGGGCTCTGGACTTCAGCAAAATGGCAGCCTTCAGCAAAAAGAAAAAGGAGCAATGCTGGTGGCAATTACAGCATGTAATGGACCCCAGACACCCACGACTGGGTATCTCCGTCAAGAAGCTGCTTCTCAGGCTCTTGAACACAAGACCAGTGAATCTGGCTATTGTTACCCCAAGATCCAGACGACACCAGATTTGAAGTAAACCAGAGGTATACTACTTTATTTGAACACAGATACATCAACAACCCCCCACCCCACCTATCTCCCAAACATGTCTACACAGTCTGAGAAAAAGCCCACACAATATTAGGACAGATCACCCTGTACCCCTAACAGGCACAGGATGATTTACACATGAGGGGGATATGGGGAGCTGAGACAGGGGTCTCCCCACCTCTCCAAAGTTAGCTGGGTTCCATGGGCCCCCCACCCAAAGTGACATCCCGCCACACAGCACACACTAATTTTTGGTAGCAGAATTAAGGTGGAATGTATATTTGTTTCTACGGAACTTTATTTTTTTATCAAGTTGTTATGGGTAAAGTTCTACTTTAAATCCCTTACAGCAACAATAAAGCTGAATTACAAGCCATTCAGGAGTGAAAAAAAAAATAAAACCAATGCTTTGCATCTAGTGTCTAAATGACTTAAGCTATTAAAGGCTGCTAAACAGCAATTACAATAATTTTAGCAATGTTAGTATACTGGCATGGGTTCTTGATTCAAAGTGCACAATGCTTTGACTCAGGGAGCTCAAGTACACACATGGGCCTCAAAGGGCACCCCAGAAGAATTTAAAACATATAGGAGGAAAACTAAGTGAGTGCCTAGCCAACTGTCATCCAAAACACTACATGTGATATGTCCCAATTGGGATGACACAGGATGTTACAATAATTCATTTCTGGGGTTACAGGAGACCCCATTCATCAGGACTGAAAAACAATAGACGTGCAACAGGTGAAAAATGTATAAAATCATAGCTATTGATTGTTAGAGGTACTATTAAACTACAGTCTAAATGGACAATTATATTACAGAATTGTTGTTAAACAAAATTACAGGATGTATCCTACTTACAAGCCGACCTCAATGCACTGTTTAATTGGGCAACTATGTGGCAAATGAGGTTTAATGTAGATAAATGTAGTCATGAACTTTGGGGCTAAAAGCACAAATGCAGCACACATATACTAGGGGGAGTACAGCTGGGGGAATCAATAGTGGAGAAGGATCTGGGAGTTCTGGTAGATCACAAGCTTAATAATGGCATGCAATGCCAAGCTGCGGTTCATAAAGCGAGCAAAATCCTCTCTTGTATTACAATACACTTCAGAGAGAGAGATCATCAGTAAGACCTCATCTGGAATATGCTGTTCAAGTTTGGGCACCAATTCACAAAAAGGATATTGTAGAACTGGAGAAAGTTCAGAGAAGGGCAACCAATCTAATAAGAAGCATGGAGAAGCTCAGCTACAGTTGTGTTCAAAATAATAGCAGTGTGTTGAAAAAAGTGAATAAAGCTCAAAATCATTCTAATAGCTTTTATTTCCATACACACAAATGCATTGGGAACACTACACATTCTATTCCAAATCAAAACATGAAGAAAAATAGATCAAATTTGTGTTGTTCCTCTAAAAAAAAGAAGAAAAGTGAATATTAGACTGTTCAAAAAAAAGCAGTGTTTGTATTCTTCTTTACAAACTCAAACATTCACTATATAAACTGAAAAATGTTTGAAGATTTTGCTTTCCTTTGAATCACTTAATTAATATTTAGTTGTATAAGCACTGTTTCTGAGAACTGCTGTACATCTGTGTTGCATGGAGTCTAGAGATGAGCGAATCGAACTAGGCGAAGTGGAATTCGTTTCGAATATTAGGAAAATTTCGATTCGCGACGAATCCGAAAATTAGCATACTTCGGATGCGCGAATCGAAATTTTTCCTAAAATGGCGGCGACATGTGCGGCGACGGAGCGGGGATGTCTGGGAAGGCGCGCAGACAAGGCGCGCTGACCCATAATGCATTCATTCATGACATGTGATCGCATTAGCCAATCAGCAGCCAGCCAGCCAGCACTGTGTAATGGTCGAGCTATAAATGGCGGCCATTTTAGAATTCTCCATTTGCCTCCAGTCATTCAAGAGAGGCAGAGCTGTCTGTATTGAGGGAGAGAGTTAGGGACACAGAAATGTTACTTAGGGCCAGAGAAACGTTACTTAGGGCCAGAGAAACGTTACTTAGGGACACAAAAACGTTACTTAGGGACACAAAACGTTACTAGGGCCAGAGAAACGTTACTTAGGGCCACAGAAACGTTACTTAGGGCCACAGAAACGTTACTTAGGGACACAAAAACATTACTTAGGGCCAGAGAAACGTTACTTAGGGCCACAGAAACGTTACTTAGGGCCACAGAATCGTTACTTAGGGACACAGAAACGTTACTTAGGGCCACAGAAACTTTACTTAGGGCCACAGAATCGTTACTTAGGGCCACAGAAACGTTACTTAGGGCCACAGAAACGTTACTTAGGGCCACAGAATCGTTACTTAGGGCCACAGAATCGTTACTTAGGGCCACAGAAACGTTACTTAGGGCCACAGAAACGTTACTTAGGGCCACAGAATCGTTACTTAGGGCCACAGAAACGTTACTTAGGGCCACAGAAACGTTACTTAGGGCCACAGAAACTTTACTTAGGGCCACAGAATCGTTACTTAGGGCCACAGAAACGTTACTTAGGGCCACAGAAACATTACTTAGGGCCACAGAATTGTTACTGAGGGACACAGAATTGTTACTCAGGGACAGACACAGAATTGTTACTCAGGGACAGACACAGAATTGTTACTCAGGGACAGACACAGAATTCTTACTGAGGGACAGACACAGAATTGTTACTGAGGGACACAGAATTGTTACTGAGGGACACAGAATTGTTACTCAGGGACAGACACAGAATTGTTACTGAGGGACACAGAATTGTTACTGAGGGACACAGAATTGTTACTGAGGGACACAGAATTGTTACTCAGGGACAGACACAGAATTGTTACTGAGGGACACAGAATTGTTACTGAGGGACACAGGGACACAGAATTGTTACTGAGGGACACAGAATTGTTACTGAGGGACAAAGAATTGTTACTGAGGGACACAGAATTGTTACTGAGGGACACAGAATTGTTACTCAGGGACAGACACAGAATTGTTACTGAGGGACAGACACAGAATTGTTACTGAGGGACACAGAATTGTTACTGAGGGACACAGAATTGTTACTGAGGGACACAGAATTGTTACTCAGGGACAGACACAGAATTGTTACTCAGGGACAGACACAGAATTGTTACTGAGGGACACAGAATTGTTACTGAGGGACACAGAATTGTTACTCAGGGACACAGAATTGTTACTCAGGGACAGACACAGAATTGTTACTGAGGGACAGACACAGAATTGTTACTGAGGGACACAGAATTGTTACTGAGGGACACAGAATTGTTACTGAGGGACACAGAATTGTTACTCAGGGACAGACACAGAATTGTTACTGAGGGACACAGAATTGTTACTGAGGGACACAGAATTGTTACTCAGGGACATTGTTACAGAATTGTTACTCAGGGACACAGAATTGTTACTCAGGGACAGACACAGAATTGTTACTCAGGGACAGACACAGAATTGTTACTGAGGGACACAGAATTGTTACTGAGGGACACAGAATTGTTACTCAGGGACACAGAATTGTTACTCAGGGACACAGAATTGTTACTGAGGGACACAGAATTGTTACTCAGGGGACACAGAATTGTTACTGAGGGACACAGAATTGTTACTCAGGGACACAGAATTGTTACTCAGGGACACACATTGTTAATTGTTACTCAGGGACAGGGACACAGAATTGTTACTGAGGGGACACAGAATTGTTACTGAGGGACACAGAATTGTTACTGAGGGACACAGAATTGTTACTCAGGGACACACAGAATTGTTACTCAGGGACAGACACAGAATTGTTACTGAGGGACACAGAATTGTTACTGAGGGACACAGAATTGTTACTCAGGGACACAGAATTGTTACTCAGGGACACAGAATTGTTACTCAGGGGGACAGACACAGAATTGTTACTGAGGGACACAGAATTGTTACTCAGGGACACAGAATTGTTACTGAGGGACACAGAATTGTTACTCAGGGGACACAGAATTGTTACTGAGGGACACAGAATTGTTACTCAGGGACAGACACAGAATTGTTACTCAGGGACACAGAATTGTTACTGAGGGACACAGAATTGTTACTGAGGGACACAGAATTGTTACTCAGGGACAGACACAGAATTGTTACTGAGGGACAGGGACACAGAATTGTTACTGAGGGACACAGAATTGTTACTCAGGGGACACAGAATTGTTACTCAGGGACACAGAATTGAGGGATTGTTACTGAGGGACACAGAATTGTTACTGAGGGACACAGAAGTGTTACTGAGGGACACAGAATTGTTACTCAGGGACACAGAATTGTTACTCAGGGACAGGGACACAGAATTGTTACTCAGGGACACAGAATTGTTA